TATATATTTGTAGATGTGTGAGCTATAACAGTGTATTTTATTTTTAAGCTCTAAATATTTAATTATATTATACGAGTTGTATGTTTGGCCTGCTGCCCACCGGTTTATTGCAAGAAACAAACGCAAAATCTTATAAAATGCAGTTAATGTCAACACACATGCGAACTAGTTCAGTAAACATATACTGTACTTTCAAGAACTTGCTTTATTTCGTAGTTTCTTGCATCGTGCCATGCTCGAAAGGAATCTGCAGTAGTATATACCGGGCAAAACTTTTCCCATAAAGTAGATTCATGTAATAATAACATTAATATGGAAAGAAAACTTAAAAGACACTCGTGGCGCAATGGATTTGTATCTACAAGAATCTGCCTACATCACTGTATGTCTCAGGTTTGATGGTGTGAATGGTTTGTTGTAATACAACCATTTTGACATAAGCCCAAACAACATAATCTATACATATAATAAAATTCTAACTGAGTCAAATCTGTACATTAAATACTTTTTTGGAAAATCTTATTGCAATAGACATTATTATCGATACAGAGGCTGAATCTATAGTTTTTAGGATTTTTGTCTGTCTGTCTATCTGTTCGTCTGTCTGTCTGTTACCGCATCACAGAAAGACTACTGGACGGATTTTGATAAAATTTGGTATGGTCATAGCTGATTATCCGGGTCAAGATATAAGATACTTTTTACAGCGGAAAAATATCTCATTTCTGAGAAAAAATACAAAAACTGTAATGTCAGAGTATACTAATATGTACAACCTAAGAATTTGGTTTTTGGTCACCTGGACGCGGGCGGAGCCGCGGGCAATGCTAGTTTGATATAAAATGATGACACGTTTAGCTCAGTGTGTAGTGACCCTACTTGATGTGCCAGTTTATTGGCTTTCTTGTTCTTTTTTTTTTTTAACGTTGGGAAGTGCATTTACGCACGAAGTGTGGGACTCACCGGCGAAGCCAGTACTACCCACTAAAACCCAACAAAACCATCCCCCGTCTTAATGGGGCGTCGCAGGATCGCTTACGCATTCAACTACGACGCCCCGACGGCAGGTCTGCCGAAGCAGACCACAACAACCATGGGGTTGCTCCACGGTCCACTCTGCTATCAGAGAAGTACCAGGAGCAACCCGCATGGTACACCGCCCTCCGAAGAAGGCTGCCTCCCACCACCCACCGAAGCGGGCCACCTCCCTGTGCGTTTCTTGGCTTCGCGTGTACACAACTGAGCCCCCCCACCACGACAAGGTGAACGCACGTTGGGGGGGTGGCTTTCTTGTTCTGGCTTTGCCTATCTATTCATATAATAAAATTTCAACTGAGTCGAATTTGTACATAAAATATTTTTTGGAAAATCTTATTGAAATAGATATTATTATCGATACAGAGGCCCAATATATATCTTTTAGATTTTTTTTCAGTCTGTCTATCTGTTACTGCATCACGAGAAAACCATTAGACACATTTTGATGAAATTGGGTTTGATGATGGGTTTGATGGTCGTGGGTTTGAGTCCCGCTGGGGGCATTCATTGTGTGATGAGCACGAATGTTTGTACTCCAGTCATGGGTGTTTATATTTATAATATGTATTTAAAGTTTATATATGTGTAGTGTATCAACTATCTGGTATCCATAACACAAGCCTCGTAACTTATCAACTAGACGGTGCTGTGTGTTAATGTCCCAACATATTTATTTATTATTTAACATAATGTCCCCGGTCCCGATCTAGTTCAAGAAAGGGCGGGCGGCTTAGTTATTTCAATATTTTTAATAAACGAAATATTAGCATAGATATTGTATATTACATAACTTTTGAAAGTTGATAAAGAAAATTGTAACAAGTCACTAAAAATCTAGTGTAATAGAATATTTTCCCAAAAAAAGCCATATACGATCAAATTTTCATGATTGTGGATTGTAAAACATATATTTAAAAGTAAATCGAAGCCACATTTCAGCTCCAGTACGTGCTATTCCTTACTGCTATTTAAATTTATTGAATTTTACTTATTTTATTTTCTCTTAACAAAAAATTGGTTAAAATCAATGGAGTAAAAATTTAATGACTCCTTCATATTTACATTAACACGCTTCGTTCGAACTGCGAGTGATCAGAGAAGGTGACGAAGTATGAAACGCGGTATTTTCCAGCGAAACAATTAAATTTAGCACACATCGTTGGGATTAGGGGCATAATTTGAGGGAGGTAAGGCTCAAGTTCAAGCGGTAGTAAGCCTCAGCCTATAGAATCTTAAGTCCGCTCGGTTAAACCGAGATCTTTGCGTCCATGTCGAATACTACTCGATGGGCTTCGATCAATATATAGCCTCGGGGGCGCGTCTACCTAGCGGGGTTAAATACAATTTACCTTTGTTATTTTTCGTGTCATTAAACTGCGTCGCGATTTCGAACGCTTGATCGGGATTGCGAACACCGATGCGAATTGTTTGTGAGCTTTTGTTTCCCACTCCGCTCGCCAACGATTCGACGTCAATTAACATCGGATCACGAATCGAATTTTCTTCAAGACTAAGCATATTATGTATTTTATGGAATGAAAATGTTCTTCCCTCATTTCTTAGTAAATAATAAATTTTGTTCTCCATTTTAAATAAAACTATGTTTTTGGGTTTTTTCGCGGATTTATTTGGATTTTTGGTTCCCGACGTTTTACTATATCCTTTTTTTTTGTTTTTTATAAAAGTATATAGTAATAGTGTTGCTTAGTAATTTGTCTTTTTAAATAATAGCAAACTAAATTTAAATTATTATTCTTAATTAATTTTAACTCTTTTAAATTACACATAGATCAATTATGTGGCTTAAATAATTAATATTATATTTTATATTTTTCTATAATATATATATATATATAAATATAATAAAGGCAACACTAAATATAGATTACTAATTAATATTTTTAAAATTGTGATAATTATAATAATAACAGCAAAAATTAAATAAATAATATTCCATATTCAATTATAAAACTAATTAAAATTATAAAAGTGTTTAAAGTTAAAAAATATTGTAAGGTAATTGGTGCAATTTTCATTTTGTTATTTGTGGGTAGGCTATTTGTAACAACTATACCTTTGAGACATCTATCACCTCAGTCTCTCCCGTGACCATGATTGCTGTAAAGCATTCGAAACGTCAGGAACCAAAAATCCAAATAAATCCGCGAAAAATCCGAAAAGATAGTTTTATTTAAAATGTCAAATATTCGCGTAAATCTAATATCTAAATCGAAAGTATTATTTTGTTTTCCAATTCGTAATCATGAAAGCTTTGATAAATCTCATTTGTGTGCCATCAGTTTTGGTGATATTTGTCAAACGAGCCCTTAGTTTGCGTGTTGTTAAACAAACGACGGTGACCACGGCGCTGGCGTAGGCTCTGGTTCATTTGTAAAGCTTTATCGGCAGTGACAAATTGCGACACTCACTACTTTTATGCTGCAAACGATCGAAGAATACCGATTGTGTTATGGAAAGCTTTAAATCCATTGTTTCCATACTGCTATTATAACTACTACATATTGTGCTTTTGTTATTTTTCAACATTGTAGTTTTTCATATAAAGCTTTATAGTCATAAACTATGCTAACATAAAAAAAAATCACTATGATACGATTTATGTAACATTTTAAGTTCAACATCTCATGTTGATTATTCAGTCTTATCTAGGTATAAAACTTGCGAGAACTCTACACGATGGGGCCTTACACTCACTTCCCCGCGTTTAATGCAAAAGCACGCAGTTCCATGTCGGTGCAGAAAGTTCTGTAAAGTGCACAAAGTGCGCCAACGCCGCGGCAAAGCCTTCATTTGTCGGCTCGTGACGTCCGCGTGACAAATGTGGACGGGACTTTATGTACCATACCTACAGCGAGAGCGTCGCGATTATGCACGCCGATGAAAAATGTAACTCCAAGTTTTAGTATGTCTGCCAAGCGGTTTTAAACGTAACAATTTATCATGAAATATCTACGTTATGAGTATACGTTCACGTATTCTTTAAAATATTGTTCTTTTAAAGACTTTCTTTTGTAATTTTCTTAAAGTTATATGAATTTTCTATATTCTATAATATTTTAATATGGGAATAAGTATAGTATTAGAATTTGAGTCTTATACTATTATTTGATCTGTGGTACTAGTATAGTATTATATGATCTGTGCTTATACTAAACATGAACAAAATAAAACAAAATTAACAAAGTGATCTATTTCGGTGGTCTTAACATAATTTAAGCCTATATACTTTACGTGTAGATTTCACTTGGAAACGAAATTTCTGTTGCTAGAGGTTTGGGTTAACATAGATTGGGTAATTTATACTTGCCTCCTCCCTACCGAGTGGGGAAGATACAAGCTCTGAAGAGAACTATACCTTTCGTTAAAATTGCTTAATGGGTCGATTAAGCGGAGAATTTAATTATAAGATAAAAGTGAATAATTCACCTGAATTACTTTGATGAAAACCAGTGCATTTTCTTCTTAAAATTAGAACAGCGTGGTAAAACAACAAATTGAATTAAACAAACTTAAAGCAATAGCGAATCAACAGTATTCTTGATAAAGACTATATAAGTATTGTAATTATTGTAAACAATTATTTCCAACATTGTAAATTTAGTCCTCCTGTATAATAAGCATTCAATGGTAAGCTCTTTGACTTAATAAAGTATATTAAAATTCAATTTGTGAGACGAACCGTGAAGCATAACGGATTGTCGAGTGATTTTGTCACCCCCTTTCTTCCATAATTTTACGACTCACCCAATTTTATAATTATATTTACTTAGTTCTGTCAAGTACAATAATAGCAATTAATTTCTACAACAATTAGAACCATTCTATTGAGTCCTTGCGACCGCAAAACAAACAAAGACAATTTACAAAGTTAAAAAAATACGTGTTAGCGCTGACTTTTATTTCATTAACCCTTAACGTCTCACCGAATGTTTTTGTTACAGGTGGAATGCAAAAAGGCACAACCGAAAGAAGTAATGCTCCCAGCAAACTTGGCCAAGACGAGAGCTGCCGGCCGCGGGGCCTACGGTGAGTTGCTAGGTAGCGCCGTGGCAGCCGGTGGCGTTCGATACGCTCCTTACCCCGTACATGCGCCCGCGCAGCTGTTGGTGACAGGCACAGGTGTGGGTGCAGGGTCAGCCAGTGCCGCTATGTACCGTCGTGCGCTCGCCGCCCTGCGCCCAACCCCACGGCCTCCGAGACCAACCCTAGCACCTATCACTATACCTCCTCTCGCCTACTCAGTCTCAGAACTCCTCGGAGCACACACCCTTGATATTCCCACCCTTTATTCTCCTCTCACCCACTCCACGCTACCCACTCCTTTGCCTCTCTGATCCGCGATCCTCTTCCAACAGCATCCTCACCAACCCTTCTAATGTGCTAACTTATTTATTCTGTCTTGTTGAGTGATTGTGCTGCGCTGGCGTACTTTCCTATCCATTCCTAGCTATTTCTTACATTCCTCTATTCTATTGTACCCTCGATTGTTTATTTTTGATGTAATTAAGGAAACAGATAATATCTAAAGTGTCTTATTTTAGTAATTGCCATTAGAGAATCAGTTAGATAGCAGATTTTTGAAATGTGTACCAACATAATTTAGAAGATCTATAGAGACGGTTGTTATACAAAGGTTACTATAAAAAATACATTTATATCAAATAGTAGAAAAAAATCATCTGGAACAATTTTATGTAGGGGTAATAGAAAGCAATATTTTTCTACCAGGTAGTAGGTGCTTAAAATCATTTGATTTTTAATAGATAGAGGATATAGACTAAGCCTGGTATTTTTCTGATTTTTATGTAGTTTTAATATGAAATACTTAATAAGGGCCTTATAGTCATGCTGATTCTTGCCAGTTATGCTACATTTCCATCCATAAAAAACAACTAAAGCAGCTTAGAGAACAAATTCTAGACAATGTTACTTGCGGTTGGTTTAAAGAGTGTTTTTAAAAATAATATTTTCTTAAATCATATTATATTCTTTAGCCTTTTACTATAAATAGCTTTGCAACTTGATGTCGGCTTTACAAAAAATGTTATCATTGGAAGAAAAGGTACCTATCAACAGTCGATGTTACTTATGAGTTTTGTGAAATTTTTAGTCAATTATTGTGTTGTATTTTTTTTATTATGATTTATATTTAATAATTTCTATTAGAGATTTAGGTAAAGTACTTAATTCAAATGACAACTATGTTTAAATAGTACTGTTAGATAAATATTTACTATTTCTTTTTTTATATTATTTATTTTATAAATTGCATTAGTTTATTTTGACGTATGTCACTTAGTTATATTTAGTTTGTTTCCATTTTCTTTCTTCTTAGTTAAATATTTGTACTTTAACAATAAGGTGTTGATTCACTCAATTTTGTATTACCAGAGTAGATCTCGTATTAACTAATAATAGTATTAATTGTATTAACTTATAAAGTAGGAAAAATTCGGTAGTGTTTAGATTAATAAATATCATTTCTAAAATATTTAAACACGTCTGTTTGTTTAACATGTTTAGCTTTAGACTAACAACGTGTAGAGTAGATTAACGATTTAAGTCTATATAAATTATTATTATCGTCATCGGTTATAGACAACTAACATACCCCATTGAAGTCATTTTAGTGATTTATTGGATGGTAGTAAATTTTAGAATTTTTAATCAATACTTGATATTAAATATAATATAAGTATTATGTATGTATCACACATATGTTTGTATAATCCACATGAACATCTCGCCAAGCAAAATAGTGTCTCATGGTACACTCAAAATTCAAATGATTCAATGTCTTAATAGTACACACAATATATTAAAATAAGGTGTAAGGATCGTTCAATTTATGTAAATGTTTTTACATTTCTAGATTTCATGTGGTCATTGGGTGCTCTTCCTGACGGTAAGTTTACAATTAACATTATATATTTTTTTAAAGTCAGTCATTTTATAATATTCCTGCATCTCTAAATCATTAATATCAGAATGAGTGACCAATATTTTGTGTATCAAACCTTACATTCGATGTCACTCTTCGAGTCTACCAAAGCGGATCAATTAGCTGACTAAGCATTTAACTTAGTATGACGATACAATTAATTTATTACCAACTAGTATGTCTAGGTGTGCTCCATCCGCCATAATGGATCACGTGGCCTGACAGATACACTATTTTGATTGGCAATAATATGATAAACGATCCGGTGCGGTAATCATATCAGCCTCCGTCGACGGTCCGGCCATCAATCATTCGCATTTTTATACCGGACTACATGTTCACAAAGGCGATATTGCAAGCATATATGTAACTTTTAGCAATAATTTCTATTTCGAAATAGTTCACATTTTCCCATATTTTAGAGTAGACCTAGTTTACTTTGTAATTTAATGACATTTTTTAGTGATTTGTTAATTGAATAAAAGCATCGTTAGTGCACTCACAGTGCTACATTTAACGATGTTTACAAAATATCATCTGCTGGACAATGTCCAAAACGATGTCGTACCAGACTTGTGCGATATACTTACCTACCTTTTATGTGACGTCTCTATTTTCGAATTAGGCCAACGGGACGCACGATACATACTACAATTTTGTGTGAACTAAAAGCTCGGGAAAAGCTCCAATTAAATCGATCTGATTAAAATCCCATTAATTAAAACAATCAAATAATTGACGCCGGTGTTTTATTGACTGACAATTAATCGATTAACACATGTTTATTTGTTATACAGGTTTTCCCGCAGCGTACGCCGCCTACGCGGCAGGACGTAGCTATTCGGGCTATCCTAGCTTCGGGCTGCCATACCCCGCAGGTAATCCCTTGGCGAGCTTGCACCACCAACTGTCTGGCAATCACTACCACCACCTGGCAACACTCCTGCCATATCACCCACTCGAACTCAGTGGGGTTTACAATGTACACGCCATGCATCTGTGAACTCGCCCGACGACAATGCATTCCACTAACTGCTAACGATTCGCAACCGACACTGATCCGCTAAACGCCTAACGTCAATCATGGTCTATAACAACCCATATGGCTTTTTAATATATTGCGGTGACTATTTACTAACTTAACGTTCACTAACTTATTTCAAAGCACCGGAAAAAGTTCGTATAAACTTTCACTAACAAATTTACTAACAAGTTAACACCTCTAACGATGACTGAGCCATCTAGATAAATCTGCCAAGCCGTCAATTACAAAACGTCCAAGTTTTGAGAAATGCTATTTATTGTTTATCTTCAGAATTTCGTCGAGAGAATCCGACCAAAGGCGAGCGTCTCGCTGTGTTTACAAACGATTCTCCCTAACGATTCTCAAATGCTACGCGTCAAGTAAACACTCCAGCGCAAATATCGCGTTAGCTTTGCCCCCTCGCCACCCGCGCCTCGCCGTCCGCGCCCCTGCCTCGTCACCGTCTGGCATTTCGCTATTGCCTACTCCTCATTAACAGAGAAAGCTTAAAGAGATTTAAACAGATTCAAACAAAAGTACTGAAAAAGTAACGTCCTTTTTGTGGTAACTTATATGTAAATCTTGAAACCGGAAAACAAAAATATTCTCGTTAAAAAGAGAATGATGTCTCTTATAAAGTTTAAGAAGGCTCTTGAGGTAGCTATGTAATTATCTCATACAATACGCCAATTATAACAAATAATAAAATTTACTTGCTAGTCTACGGTTACTTCAACTGAGCATTACTAAAGCCACTAACTTTAACCTGACATTGTTTCGGTACCATTTTACTGAGATTTCAATTAAGGAAGTTTCACAGTTAAATTTTCGGCTTTATATATACATATTTTGGGCAGGAGACTTGTTTGTTTATTCGTGAAAATGGTAGTCTCCAAAAAACAAACTTTCACAAAATTTTGGTGAACTGCACTTTAACTGGAAATACTTCAATCCGCGCGTTTATTTTTCAATTGATGTTATCATAGAACTAGAGACCGCGATTTACTGGTTTTTCATTCATATTAGTCAAACAAATAGTTTCTCGCTAATTACTTTTAAACTACCGTTTTACTGCACGCGAGACATACGTTTCAAGCCAATTGCGTACGAAAAAATAACAACAGCGGTGGTTATTTGTTGTTTTAAATTATTATTATTTTTTTATTAAAATGAATCAATTTATTTAAGGTTTTTCTGCTTTCATATAATAAATAATCTGTTAGTAGTAGTAGTAAAATTTTATAGTAAAAAATAGGCTTTTTCCAAGTTACGTTATGTACAGTTATATATCTACTATATAAATTATTTCTACAAAAAAAAAACATTAAAAGCTTAGTTAAAACATTTACTGTCAAGTGTATTTACATTGAATTAAATTCCATAGAAATATCATGGCATTACACATACAGATACACTTCAAAATTTAGTAAATTTATAAAATTTGTACACTGTACTAAAAAGTATTTATAATAACCGTAGAATAACACGCAACTCAGTAAATATATAATAAAATTGTTATCCACAAGGGTAAAGTTAAGACAGTTTGCACCACGACGCCGAATAAATCTGCTTTATTTCTGAACCTATTATCCATTGTTAGTCGTGAAAGAAATAAAAAGCAATATTATAGAAACTTTTTGTATACTATTTGCAAGGCTAGGACAGCTGAGACCCAGCATTAAACCTTGCCGGATCAACTATGAACGTAATTTACATATTTATTGAAAATTTTAGTCTAGACTATTATTATTCATCATATAGCATACTTGTAATGTTTTTAGGAGATGACTCGAGCTGTTTATCTTTTAGACGTAATCTATATAGAGTTTTAATCGTAGCACTATAAACGTATTTAACTTCAACAAAGCATGCTGTAGTGGGTAGAGTTTGAATTTCTCTAGAATTTAAACAAGACTGAACACAACTTATAAACTCTTCTTCACTTGATAATGAATAGTGGTGTAGGAAGCATTTTTCATGTTGTACCAGCATTAAAGTTAGTTTATTTAATGGATAGGATATTCTCATTGTGATTTACGAATTGTATAAAACAAAAGATTAACAAAGTCCCGTTATATTCGTCTTATGTCCCCGTTCTGCTTAGTTATTTTATTTATTTATTTATTGAACTACCAACAAAAGTTACAATATTATAATACTTAAACCTAGGTTACATATGATTTATCATGATATTGCACTTTTAATTATAGGTAGTTACAACATGCTGCTTTTACAGGCTATCACATTAGTATTAAATAGTATACAATAATTCCAATTTAATTTTTTAAATAATTAATTACAATTACAAATTAAAAAATATATAATTTTATAACAAAAATATTTAATAATAAATAATTTAACTTAAATTTTACTTTTATATTAAATTCGACTGCCTCAATTTATTGGCTTTTTAATTGTTTTGGTAACCATACTTATTTATATTTATCAACCAATATGAATAATATATGCAAAAATAAACACTTTTTTTCAAGTGACGATAAACCAAGTGCTCGTTGTACTTCTTTTTTATTGCATGTAAGCAATAATGTTGTGTTCAGTCGAATACTATAGTAGTTGTATATGTAAGAATATCTTCTACAATATCAACTAGACAGATAAGATACGTAGACGTTTAGGTATCTAGGAATTAATTTGATAAATTACTAAGTTTAGAGGATGAGTAGGAAATTTCCTATATTAGATTTTTGTTTGCGTAGTTCGTTTATAGAATTAGTTTAGATTCTTTCAATCAATTATATGATATAATCGAGCTTGGAAACTGTTATTTTAATACCTAATTAAATATTTGCTATAATTATAATGTATACTTATGTAGGTATGGGCCTACTTTGTGTTTCAAAGTTATTTCTCTATTATATTTTATATATTTACACTGCTTAAGCGATAATGTTATTAATAATAATATTTATTGTTGTTGTTGTGTAATATTTTTGGATGCAAGTATTTTATGCTATCTTCTTCATGTTATTGTTATGATAAAACGGTTCAACATTAAAAAAATAAATTTTCCGAACCACCAACCGAAGGGATTATTGAAGATTTGTGGCAAAACCTATTCATCATCACGCCTCGCAATTTATTTCATCAAAATTAATGTTTATACCAAAATTATTACTTAAAAATATATAAGTTAATTCGATCATAAAATCGCTACGTATGTGACCGTCCTTATCGCCATCCTCTAAACTAGTCATAATAAAATAAGCTTTGTCTTTAATATAATTATAAACTTAACGTGTGGCTATTGAATATAAGCGAAACCCATTACTAAATCGTATCGTTGACAACGTCGTTAAAATATCTGCTTTGCATCGAAATGTAATGTCCATGGAAAACATTAATTATTTTTGATCAGAATTAAGCACTTCCGGCACCATATACGTTATATATTCCCCATGTTATTGATCTATTGCGTGTTTAGTTATACTAATACCAAGTAAGTTATTATACATAATTCAGTAACACCGTGGTTTTGAAAATATTTGATGCTCAAGACGGTATTTTCTATAACATTTAATGATCCCCTACCCCCTGCATTTTGGTTGTGCGTGATAGAGATTGCCTTTATACGAAACATGTAATAATAAAAGTTCATCATAGTATGCGTGTTAGAAATTTTAAACCATAGACTCATTCAATCCTAAGTTTAGCCATAAATAATAAAACTGCTAAGTTAGCACAGCTTATATCGCTATAAATTTTATAGCTTTTTTTTTAATTCATTTTAATTTATGAAGCGTACAGATAGATATATGGGCTCTGGGTAACGTGTTAACTTTTTGACAAACTTTTGTTTTATTTAAGCGCCGCGGTTCTGTCGGAGCCCTTCCCAGTTCCGTGGCGGGCTTTGTAGCTTTTTTTTATTTTGTTGCCGCAGGTGTAGTGGGAGTTTTACCGCCGGAAAGTCGTCTCTTGGTCGGTGTGGAGTATGTTAACCCGGGTGGGCTCGGACAGGGCTCGTAGGCCGCCGCCGTCGACGCCGCGCCGCCCGCCCACCACATGCCACGACCTAACCATTATCTTACCCGGACCTACCTATAACGGCTCCCGGAATTTCTTACGAAATAAATCTTTTCTTAAGTGAACATCTCTTTGGTATCACGCCCTCCACTTCCCCCCGAATCGCAACTGAGGAATGCAATGTCGCAAACACGTACTATATAAATTACAACATGTTAGTGCGAATTCGCAGATGCGTACGTGGATATATCGCCCGGCTAGGTTGCCCATATAGCTCGATACGATATCATTAAACATTTAAAATCAATGCGGTTTCCATCAGGAAGTTTATCCGATTTATAGATAAATAAATTTTAGGTATCACTTTTAAGACATAAAATTTATCATATAATATATTATAATGTAACTCATGTGTCAAATTTTTAATGTATTAAATGTATAATGTAAGTCACTAGTATTGTTCTTATCAATGTTTCGACATATCGTCTTAATTTTAATCGTAAGATTATGATATTGTGAAGCCAATATATTTTAAAATAAAGGAATTTTCCGCTATATAAGCAAAACGTTTTGTCGTTTACTGTCCAACTGATTGCTTGACAATCGAGGTCGATCACGGCCCGCTTATTTAACATTCGTTCGCTTATCGATTGCGATCAAAATAAAAGGAAATAAATACATTTAGCGTGGAGTTGGCTAGCGTGTTATGGAAAATTGATATTATTTTATGGAGTAACATAAGATTTACGGCTAATATGAAAGTAAAATAGATAAAAAAACTTTTTCCTATTCTGACTCATCCAAATCGGTACACGCAGCTTGGTGTCCGCGCGTGTCTCAGCGAGTCGGTAAGCACATGCATGTGCGTTGTACGGGGGCAAGCGTTCCTTAGTGAAGGTAGCAAGTTCTATTTACAAGATCCTTCTGCCCCCGTAGGAGACAGGCACGTGCGACCGCGGTCCCGCCACCGCATCTAGCGCATTCCTCAAATTCTACACGTTCGCCTTCAGAATGCAGCCCGCGGACCAGACCCACACAACTATTTTGCATAGTTCAATGCTATTTGCCTACTCAGTTACTTCAGAACTGAGACTCTCCTTACAAACAAAAAGTAAAGATTTAAATATACACAAAATTGAAAGGGTCATACAATGAAATAAAACTAATTATTCGCTGGTGAGGCGGCCAGAGACAGTGTGTCGCCAAAAGTGCCAGTTTCATTCATAACACTATAAAACTTTATATATATTTAGTGCTTGTCGCTTTGATCAAAGCACAGTGGTACCACGGTCTGTGCTCTTTCTCTATTTATCCCTTATACCTACCTAGATTCTCTTGCTAGAAATAGTTTTTGGATAGCCTGGGTGAAGTATCGCCAATAGATAAAGAGTGCTGTGAGATGTTTGGATGGGTCAGATTTTTATTCGTAGATTTATAGATTTTATTTACTGAATGTTAATAGATTTTATACTTACGATAGTCTAGCAAACTCCATCGCTCGTACATTTTTCTTGTAGAATTTCTGGATGGAATGTTGATTAAATATTTAACCAATTCCATTAGACTTCAAAATATTTTAGAACAAATTATCAAGTATTAAAAAAGCTGATACGTATGACTGTAGTGAATAAATCATCCTTTGAAATAAAAATAAAGTGCGACCATAAACTGTTATGGACACATGATGTTTATCACTTTGAATGGTTTAGAAATTTCTAGTCAAAGGATAATAGATTTATCTACTAACATTTACAAAATAGTGTTTTCGTTATCGATTGTAATGAAAATGATTGAATGAGTGTTGAAATAAAAACAAGAAAGACAGCAGTCGGTGAATGGAGTGCAGTCCGCAACAGCAATAGGGCGAGTAATGTTTATCTTTGAACTTTGAACTAAAGTTTGATCAGTATACTACTCCGTTGCAGATATAGAATAGTGTAGGCCATAAAGTGCGTAAGCTGAGTTACTGTTGTGAAAATTTGGATAAACCGTGTGGTAGAACTATAGAATTTCAAATTAAGATGTAAATTAGCAAAGCGTAGACCTAATGACAATAGATGTTAGTATAGACGAAGAATTAGAAGGTCAAAATCGAATCTGAGTAAGCAAAATTTGTAGACTGAATCTGGCCATTTATAAGATTTAAATAGCGGAGTTTCTGAATAGTCTAGATTTAGTAATTTTATGGCGGGCGATTTCCTTTCTATTGTAAATTAGCGCTTAAAAATTAGCGTGGAAATATCTTTCGTTCTAAAGTGTATAAAACTATGAACAAATAATTGCTTTAATTAAGAAATTAGCGGGTAGTAAGTAAGCGTTCAGGTAGATATTTGCCGGTAAACATAATGTGATGGTGGTGCAAACTCTTTTATAGTGGTATTTGTTATAACTAGTCATAAGAAATAGAATAGTATTTTAATGTATTTTTAAACTGTTGTGCCTTAGGCAAGAGGTATTCTAGGCTGAGTTATGAACACTCAAACAATTATTAAGCGCCATTAGATTTTGTAGTCATGTTTCTGATTTAATATTATACATAGAATAGACATTGTAAAATTTTCAACTGTAGCCTTTAATGTAGTGGTAAGCGGTATTTTCCGCAAGTATTTTATGACTTAAATAAATGGGTAGACGATGATTGTAAATTTCAGTAATAGTAGAATGAATTTCGAGGATTTTTAAAATTTTATAAAGTGTGGATTTATATTTCTCGGTTCATTTAGCTTTTTTAATCGCTTTTCATGTTTTAACTATCTATGACTGAACCATGACTGTATAATTAACTGTTCGAATATATGTAGGTGACAATTTAACCTGGTGCAATAAAAGATAGTAGAACGAGATTTTGAGAAAGGACACGCGCTTGCTTCTTTGAATTACAAATGGCAGAGGGTGGCGCGTGCGAGGCAGCCAGCAACACAGCATAGAAAGTCCATTAATTTGCAATTGAGATAAGTCCCAGCTAAACCATCGAAAATCCGCAAAGCGTATCATCTTCACGGATGTTATTGATGGCTGCTATTAAATATACGTTTTCTGTGTAAATTACGATCTGTGTGAAGGAACCAATCTCATGTGAAATAAAACATCTCAATCGTACCAAGTGGATGATGGAGTACAACGATGTTTTAGTTATGAACAAGTACTAGGTATATTTAAAATAGAAAACTGTTTCTTTCCAGATTTTTTTCATAAATATATCTGTATCTCATATATGCATGATATAGACTATTAATAATTAAACTTTGCAAGTTTATATAGTATTATTTTTCTATTCTATTATTTTATTCGATTGTATGTAAGTTACGAATGTATTTCGAAGGACAGCAGAAATTATTCAAATCATCCATGAGCACTTATTACATATTACTTAGCATATTCTTAACATTATTTTTTATTAATAATGCTAAAATATTTCCAATGCAATGCTAATATTAATAATTTTTACTTAAATATGAAAAATACGGCATAAAAACAAAATCCTACTCATGACAGCACCAAGGGCAGGTCTTACAACGGAGTACGCCCCGTGAATATTTTGCACGGCCGTCATCCCACTTCTGAAGAAGAATTATTAAGTTTCTTCGAACTTCGCAATTATGAAAGTTCGAATAGCTCTCGCAAGACGGGCTCTGAATTTATAGATGAATGTGTGCTTCCCGTGAGGTGCGAGGTTTACTTGGGGTGCAAACCACCTTACCTCTATAAAGTCCCTACGACTTCGCAGCTAAGCCAATAAAATTGGAAATTGCTAGGTGCTAACTTGTAAAGCTATTTTGTATTTCAATTACTTTATTATAAGGCTTTCTGAATGATTTTTGATTTATTTATATTGAATGTCAAACTTAATTCTAAACAATAGAATCATAACAATATATAATATAATAGAAACAAAACTATAGCTATTCGTTGCTATGATGTTTCATCGAGAAAATAGACGAGTTTAACTTTTAGAAACTTCAGCGATTACTCCCAAATTACATCCGAAACATGTGTTACATTGTAAAGCATAAAGTTAATGTCCGCCGCAGCTTATATGACCTGTTTAGATAACTATGAAGTTTCTTCACACTCACACGATTTGACGGTAAAGAGAACTGTGTAAGTTATAATTTATTTAAGGTCTGGAACACGCCTTAAGTTTAATTGGCCCTGTTTATGTCTTGAGCTTGCTAAGTCATGAATTCATCGTGTATTCATATCGAAAAGACAAATAAAAAAGTATTTTGTATGACTAAAGTAATAAGTAAACCTTTTCATTATAATTATTTCTTGATATTATTTCAATAATCCCAAGAATATTCTAAATATTTTCCAAAGCTCGATTCGGCTGACTAATGAAGGCAATATTTATTTTCTATCCAGTCAATATATAATAAATATAAATGCTGCCGATATAATGGGAAAAGAATGAGCTACGTGCGGTCGACATGCTAACGATCGGTAGACGTGTCTGAGCTACTACTTAAATTCTTATTTATTACTCGGCAACCCTCAAATAAATAGCCTCTCACATCGCAGCGTAATGTTATTAAAATGTGTCAGCATTTTAGTAAGGGCCGGCGAGCGGGTACGAGCGAGCGCGAGCGCGGGCTGTCCGTGCCATCTATCATTCATCCCCCATTACTTATATTGTACTTTTTTCGCAAAGTCACTCGCAAGCCGGTAATCACCTGGTGCGGCCGCGGACCTCCATTTTTCACACTAAATCATAACTCGCTCATCTAACAAAAATAAAATTTGTCGTACAAGCCAATAGGACTAATGGTTATATTATGAATAAGCAAAAAGAGAAATATTATCTTTAAAATTACTTTAGAAACATACAACTAATACGAATTAAGCTAGTTTTTTAAAGAAAATTTATAAATTTCTATTAACGGCGGCAGAATTTACGTAAACCAACTATTCTCTCCATTTACATTTTACAAGCAAATCACACTAATTTAAAATTCGAAGACTCTAAAAGCTTTCAAAATTGGTGCGCGAAATAGTAAGTAGGGCGGGGCGTAAGGCGGAGCGGGTAGCGGGCCTCGACGCGGACGCGAGAGCGTCAGCCCGCTGCTACGTGCACCGTATGCTAATGCCACTCCCTATTCAATAAGCAGACCGCCGCGTGCCACCGAGAACTCATGTCAGATAATTTACTGGATATTTTGTAAAAGTTTTTTTCGTCCTCTGTGATTTATGCGCGCGAAACTTTGAGCTCTCTTTTTCATTTGAATGCACGTGGCATACGTTATATTTTTGTATCAACATAATCTCAGCTTGGAGAGCCTTCAGTGTCCTCATTCGTCAACACAACATATGTCTTAAACGACTATATTATTCATGCATTTACGCACTCCTTCTTTATAAACCGTTAACATACATCGAGTTTAAACTCAGCTTTCAATAAATGTACTTACAAAAATTAAAGACTTTCTTACTTTAGTGAAAGATGGTTCAGTCATAGATTTGTGTGTGTTCTATAATAAACGAGTGGGTCACTCGTATACGTGGACCGAATGCGAACCATGTGTATATTTGCAGTGGACCTGACCAACGGCCAACTTACACCGAATAACAACACACCGCTGCTCGCGCAGGCGCTCTCAGGTGAGGACGCCGTCATATCATCCTTACATGCGAACATGTCATTTATCACGTTTAATACAATAACGATCATACATTCATGTAACCAATATCATTATTGAACATTATTACAATTTTAATCACAATGGACATGACTACTCCGAAATAATTATTATATAGTGAAAATTAATTGACCAGATTGAGTCAGATACAGTTATATTAAAGCAAAAATTCCTTCCAAAATGCTCAATAAGAAATAACATGTAACGTTTTCCACAGTAATGAACAACTACCAAGCCGCCGCAGCCGGGTTTGGTCCGCCCGCCTCGCCGCATACAGCCGGCGGGCGTGCGGGCTTCCCGGCAGCCAGCTCACCGGGACCCGCGCTCGACGTGTATGGCTCGGCAGCAGACAGCGTCGGCTACGTGCAGGCCGCTAGCCCCCAGCCTTCCGGCTTCCCCGCTATCGCAGTCAGCCGTGCGCCCCTCAATTACACCCCAGTGAGTGAAATTCCTCTTCTTCCAGCACGACTTTTTTTACTTAGCGCGTGATCGCTCATTGTGCGTGAGCTTGTGATTATTTCTTCATGTCCGTTATTCGTTCCAATTTAGCGCGACCCAATTGTCAAGGAGGTGGCGAGTGCCTGAAAGATTCATGGGGTTAAGTTTTTCTCTGAGTGTGATTATGAATTCTGAAAATTAAAGCTTTGATTTGCGTTTATCTTTTAAAAAATATTGACAAGTCAACAAAATAAATATATTATATAATATTTAAAAAAATAATTCTGACAACTTATTTGATGATAAATGAGATTAAGTTATTAATTTTCGATACTAACTTTTTTCATTTGTAACGTCATGCTCGAAATGCCTATTTCAGAATGACTCAAATAAAGGTAATTCGGAAAATCGTCCCTGTTCGAGAAGTTCCAACTGTCACAGAATTCAAATTAATGTTTGTTCTGTTTTTGTTTTTCTTTCAACTCTTGATTTGTGCTCCTGAGACGTTAAAATTCATTAAATAAGATATTTTCAGTCTTTTGTATTAAAATGTTTTCTGTGAAAATAGGTTGAGTAAATATTAAATGCAAGCCGCCAGTGACATTAAGTCGAACGCCCGTCAAGCGGCACGTGACAGGCACCACAGACACAATTAGCAGTCGACGACACTAAAATTTTAGCGAGACGGTCCAATCTTATTACTGAACCGATCTTCCTCGTCGCTCTTACGGCGTAATCACCATAAGTTAGCAAGCAAGTGAAGCGTGAGAGATGCGATTATAAAGTGTTCCGAAATATGAAAACGGCGGGCGATGGCGGCGGCAATCTACGCGGTGCACTGCCGCGGGTAATGGCTTTTTAAAACTGCGACCGTGCTCCATAACTGCTTCCCAGAGACGCCATCAGTCTTCATTGCTTGTCGGCACACGCCAACGCCACCGAGATCTTAACTCCTCACGTCGACGAATCTTCGAGACATTTTTCAAACTACAAACTTTCACTTTCAAGCTTTAAGTTTCTTTTGTATACAATAAAGCATACTTATAAATCTCAATAATAAATATTGTAAAGTTCACCCAAGATTCATAAGGGTAACAGAATTAACCTCCTTCAGTAAACCTCGTATATGAAATCCAATTGACTCAATCGTACAGAACGGACAACGTACGATAGTAATAAAAAAAATTAACAGTCCAGTCGCTGGACGCTTGAACTCGGCTCATGTGGTGGATGTAAAACGGTCTTATTAGGTAACGGGAATGCCCCCACGGGCAATAACCGTAAATCAAGGAGAACAAGTGGTGTAATTACCGATGCCGCGCGGTCGCGCGCCGCTCTAACTCATCCGCTCGATGTTTTTATTTTGTTGGCCGCTGAGCTCGCTATTGACTCCAAAATCTGAAGTTAGCCTTAAATCTACCCCTGAAGAACTTAATGATTAATCGAACGCTTTATACTCACATTCAATTATAATCCCTAAACTTTAATGGAATTGTGAGATCATCGATAATTTACTTTTTATTAAGATTAATTCAATTTTACGATCTCTCAACTTTCAATTTACCATACCATTTTTCTTTTACAGGGACCCTTGATTCCTGCGGCTTTCACCAACGGTTATCATTGAAAGTGTTATAGCACAAATATTTAACGTAAGTATTATTTTTATTGCGTGGTTTCGCTATACATAATTAAAATGTCGTTACGTGGAATGGCGTTTTAAAATACTGACGCATGTTATTATTGTCGTCGCAAATATGAACTTTCAAGTAGATCGTAATATAAACGTTTAAATATCAACATATTTACAATGTTTTAAATTGTTATATACATATATCTACCTTCTTCAAAGTAGAGTTATTAATATCAATAGAACAACCCAAAAAGGACGGGAAGTTCTAGAGTTTTCGAAACCAAAAAAATAAATAAAAGGACTGTAATGAAAACATGTTGTGCACACAGGTGGCGAGCGGCGTGGCGACGCGTGATACTCACCGCGAGCGCAAACCCATCAGTGCCCCCGTCTGCGACGCCGCGCCGCGCGCCGCGTCGGCGACGGTCGTCTAATCCGTCCGGCCACCGCGCGGACCGATCCGTCGACCGCGGCATCCCCACCACCACCAATCCCAACTCTCCCACCCCCACGACCCGACCTGACTCTCCCCCGACCTTGTCTATTGTAAATAATGATAATCTTTTTGTCGTGTGAACGAGAGATAGTCTTATTAAACAGGTATTTTTTCAAATTATTCTCGCTTCGACTGTACCGTAGATGTGTTGTCAATAATAAATGATAAACTACAAAAAAAAAATACATTTCGTAATATATAAAAAAGCATCTAGACGATTTTATTGCAGGGAGGTATATCTTAAAATATTTTATTATTCATAGTTAAATTACAGTTTAAGATGTAACTTGCATGTCTACTTTTCCAATCGCGATTTTTTACGTTACTTATAATAGAGGATCGGTTCCGTGGCATACAAGGACCGCATCCGACGTTCAAGTGTTTCGCGTACTTTTCGGTAGTAAGCTTTTACATTTAAGAGTTTTAAGCGTCAGTAGGAGCAGAGTACCGGGCCGAGATCGTATCGCAATAAGCTTATCGCTCGTGCTCTCGTTGCGTGTACAGAGTTGAGTTTGTCGGTAGCTGTACAGGTCGGTAGGGGCGGTCCGGCCGACCAGACCGGAGACAATAACGCGGTTTGCGACCGCGCGTTCGCCGCGCGCTATCTCGCTCGTCCACCAACACATATTTTATTCTATCTATTTTTAATATTAATGTCAAATATTAACATAATTACTATACTAATACATATTGCGCATATTTTACCTATGAATGTAATTATTTTACGCGTAATTCGAATTGTATAAAAATCACCTTCGGCTATTCTGTTTCTGTAGAAAAATTCAGGATTACTTCCCTATAAGAATATGTTAGTTACGCGTATACATACTTTCTTATAATAATATGTATTATGATATAAAATTTTATCCTAAGGATAACATGATCATATTTACGATTCATAAGGACATTTGGAAAGCTAAGTCGAGACATTTCAGATAATTATCTCTCATCGCATTAAGATAATAATTCATTTCTATCTTGTACCTTTGAAAGTAGGTATTGTAATTATAATAAATAACAATTTTGTGCATTACGTAATTAATATTTCATTGTTTCTTACGATTGTATTTAACTTAATGTAAGACCACTGTTGAATATATTTGCGGCTCCACTAGAAACGCGGAGTCACACACTCACAGTACTTAGTCGTATTTAAAGTTTTAATCAAAGTAATAATTGTAAACAGTAATAAATTTCATACAGAATATACCGTGGCAGTCGCACGTTTCAAACTCTTCATAGACAAAACACAGGGATATAAAGTTGTCACAGCCAAGTGCGCAGGTTTGAGGTAATAGAGTAAAATATAAAGTCAATTCATTAATCATATTCGTTAGGTACTGGAGAAGCAAGTAAGTTTTGACGACCACTTTGTCTAATTTGCAGCGGTGAGCAGTGCGCAGAGCAGTTCGGCCTGCTCTTACTCGCTGTACACACACGTGCACTCGGTTGCATTCATTCGTTATTTACTATTATGATTATTACTCATTATCGACATCAATTAAACATTAATATTATAAATCTAGGTATTAAATTTTAGGTAATAATAATGAACAATCTTTTAAATGCTATTATTATATAAATACGTTATAAATATAAATGTTTCCTGTTACAAAAATATTGAAAATGATACGAAATAAATCAATATTCTTTTTAAAGGTAATTATTACTTATGAGTATGTAGTTAATTGAATAATTGAGAGTTAAAATGAGCGTGCCCGTCGCCGGGCGGCACGCTGGCTTCGCGTTTTTTGTTCATTCGTGCCGAAACATCGTTCGCAGCACATCCCGCAGGAGACGCGACCGCTATTATGTTGTTAAACGTTAGCTAGGAAATTGATAATAAAATCGAAAGGTGTGAGTCTATTATAAGACGGTCGGTAATCGATATCATACCTAACAAATTAACGTAATTATTTGTTTTATATTTACGGTGTTATAGGTATTTAAGACATTTTTCTTAGAATATTTAATTAATACGATGAAATGTTATAATTGTTAGGCCCAAGCCGACGGCGGAGCGACGCGCGCGCACCGTGCCGCCGTCGACTGTCTCATTCACTCATACATCCTCACTATAATTATATTTTCTTACCGACCTTTTTAATGTAGGAAAAGCGTTCACGGCCGCTTATCCCCGTGCGAGTTCGAGTACAAACATACATACATAATATAGTGAGAGACATTCGTTTCGCTCGTTCGTGAGAAGCCATCGGTTCGCCGCGACTGCATCGAGACGATAACGAGAATTACTATTGTATATACATAGTTAGCCGCACGTGTAAAAAGACGTATTATTCGATACTCAATGCCATCTTATCGATATTATTAGACTCATTCGAGCTACAATCAGGATTAGCTTTACAAAGATATTAGTTTCATTGTTGTTGTTATGGTTTGTTAATACGGTTTGTGAGCTTATTTTAGTATTTTTAGGACTTTCACGCGGGTCATTATAAGGTAATTTTATGGGTGCGCTTCTAAAATGACGAGCATCACTAATCGAAATTGCTTCAAAGAAGTATTTGTATATTTAAATGTTTAATTGCTTAGCAAAATGCAATAAGTTAAGTGAAGTAATGAATTTTAATTCTTATAATATATTTTTAAATAAGACCAAATTTTTATCATTAAAAATGAATCGTATTATTCGCTAGTTGACTATTGTGGCCCGCGTGTCAAGTCTCTCGCGGCTCGGTGTGCGTATGACTTACCTCCACATCACGTCTGAAATATGTACGTCCGCTGCTCTCTAGAAGAACGCAACATCATCGCGTGTTCACATGTAATTATGTAGTATCTTGCAAAGTTAGTTATTAGACCACGTGGTTTGGAAAAATACATGTATTCTTAAAAGTTGTTTAGAATCAACTGTTCAATTCTTAAGAATCATGATTATTAAAGTTGATAATTTCAGAGTAACAGCGTGATTGTGAGCGGTCATAGTAGAGATTCGTAGTAGCGTATTATAGCTTCGCAACGCCATCGATGCCGCTTTATTCTCGCTTGTTCGATTTTCGCGTTAGTTGATTAATTTCCGTCGCTAATTTAGAAACGTTTCTATATCAAAATAAAGACTACGTAATAATATTAATAAGCGAGATCTCAAATTTATTTTAAAAATTCGTTGTGTGATCCTAATACTGCGACTTATCGTATAATATCCATCTAAGTAAAATAAAAGAAAATAATTTATTATATTTTGTATAATAACATTCTACATTACTTTACACTATCTACTTTATATCGTTAATAAAGATAATAATTAATTTTAATCTAATAAAGTGACAGACTGGTAAAGTTCGTAGAGTCGCCGAGGCGGCCTTAGATCAGTAGCTTTGCGTATTCGGCAATGGCCAACTTAACGTTTCAAGGACCAAAGGTATAGATATTCGCGTAGAACCGGACGCGTATTGGCTCCACACGAACCGACTTGAACTAATCGGTTCCATCATGCAGCATCATGCATCAGATCGTGTCTGTGAGAACAGCGTTTGAGAATCAGAGGCGGGCCGAGCCACGCTCGCGCACCTCGCTCCCGGCATCCCCCCGCCCCGTGCAACGCCGCCCGCTTGGTTTCGTTCTCGCGGTTACTTCTCGATTACGTGCTTCGCGTGCTGACTGATTTTCTATAGCAATAAAAAATCAATTACCTAAGAATTTTACATTAAAGTAAATTTGGATTTATATACGTTCAAATTTGGTGTCATGTACATTTAAAATATTAGAGAAAAGAGATAACGATAGGCGAACGATCCACGACGTGCTGTCGCGGGGTCGACGCATTATTTTCGTCATTTCTTCGTGTATGATATGTTACATGAATCTGTATACAATATGGATTTAAATCGATATTGATGAATAAATTAGTTTTTACGGCATCTCTTTAATTAAAATAATGATAATATCAAACATTTTGTAAGAAGCGGCGAGTATGTCCGCCGCCCCGATTTCGTGCACCAGTGCACTCTAACTTATTGGATTACATTATTATAACGTACATAATACTATGAGATATATAATCATACAGCCTCTTGGGGCGCGCGTGTATGGCGATGTATGTATACACATTGTGCAATGTACATATACCTATTATAATACAATGATTTAAGACAAGGTTCACATCGTGCCGTGTGTATGTGGTAATAAATATAATATGGACATTGTTCAAACAATAACCACTTGTTTCATTTAATTTCCGTTCCCTTTATCCTTACAACCCTTTATTATAACATGTAATTAAAATAAATAAATACACATATTTAATTATTAATGTGATTCTATAGTAATATATTATAAGACAAGAAATACAATTAAAATTTAAGTATGTTGATATTTCTTTACAATATAATTTTTATTATTATATCTATATAATGTTATTGAATTAAAGAAAATAGAGTAATTGAGAATATAATTTTAAATATATAAATGGATCAACATAATATTTGCTTATATAAAAAAGCTTGCTTACATAAAATTGTTTGACAAGAATATTTTAATTTATTAATATAACGATATTTAACATTAGTTATGAATAATGAGAGATTAAGTTTGATCAGATATATTTATAAAGCTTACAATTATAATAACACATTAAATAGTAGAGATATTCTTAACAATTTATGTATTTCTATCTATACAAGTTTAATTTAGTCAATTGTAATATCTTATCAGAAAATATATAAAAAGGAAATGTAAAATCAAACTGAAATCACTGAACAAATGGAAGCTTATGCCTTTATACGCAAAAATAGCCATCGGATTTAAAAAATATGTATGAAGCTGGCTTAAAGGCAATCTTGGCAATCTTGTTCAGTCCACGTAAGGGCAGTGAAAGTCTCACAATATGGCACCATCCTATACGATACGTGACTCTATTTACAGCTAAGGGGCTCTTTCCAACGAGTTACCTTCGCCTTCAAAAGAATCTGTTGCATTGTGATGTAACAATGGAAAGGTGAACCTTTAAACTTGACCGGCTGATAAAAATCTTGCCCATTCATTTAAAAATAGGTACCTACTTTATATGAAAGTCTATATGTAATTTCATCGATTAGTATGGACTTTATATCTTTTT